CACACACACACGCACACACGCACACACACACACGCGCGCGCACACACACACACACACAGACACACACGCTCATACACAATACACATTACCCAATAATCTCAAATAAAAACCCTGCCAAAATTAAACAAACAATAATACATTGTAAGAATAACTAAGACCACTGTTCAACACAATAACGATAACAACGAATAAATTGCATCTGTACAATAGGAATTCATTGAAGATGATAGCAACAGGTAGATCAAGTTTGTAGTTTGTAGTCTGTACAGTAATATATATATACAACTACATTTTATATGTACAATTATATGCCTTTTCTGTACATAATCATAATGGCTGTGGCTGCCGTATTCTGGAAGCTCTCAAACTGAGGGGATTAATAACATAATATTACAATCATATTCATCATAAAATTATATTTATATTACAATCATGTACATTGATGCTAAAAATTAATACAATCATATGAGTACAATCAAAGTCAGGAACGGAATGGAATGTAAAATTGCGCTTCAATTATTTTCAAAAATGTATTTATAGTTACAACTGTAAGCCACCAGCTGATACCCATCCTCCCCTCCCCTCCCTCTCCTCGCGGACCTTTCCGGTAGATTCGAACCCTGATGCCTCGCCGTGCACACAGACTCAACAACGGACGTATGTTACATTATTCTGTCCCCGTGGTTTTAAGCACCCCGCGTAATTTAGCAAAATTTGATCATTTTTTGCATAATTTCTGATTGTTTTCCTTATCATTATAATCATTCTTTGTTAAAATTAACAGAATCGAATGATTTCACATTTTTTGGCTCAATTTGCATAATTTCAGAACTTTTTTGGGCATAAAACCGCGGGGACAGATTATTGTCAGCTTTACTTTTCTATTCATATATTGAATTTTAATGAGAGTGATATAATATAATGTAATTTCTATGTATACCTGCCTGTGTTTTTACAGTGCTGTACTGCCAAGAAAATTTCCCCTCTAGGACAATAAAGTATTATCTTACCTTACCTTATCTTATCTTATCTTATCTTATCTTATCTTATTTTTAGGTGCAGGATTAAAGTGAGACAGACACAGTATCATCAGTGTCATGACGTGGTGGAACCAGGCGTTCGTCAATTTTTGGGCACATAGAGTTATTGGTATCATCTTAAAGCCTGTTCATTTTTCTTTCCTTTTGGTAAAAAAAAACACCCATCTATCTTGAATAGAGGTCGAAATATTTGTGACTGAAGGAGGCCAGGGTCCCCTTGTTTCGGTGGTAAAATTAACTAGGAATTGCCGCCAAAGTTTGACGATTTCCAAAGCTCGAGAGTCATTAAACACTGCAAATTTACATTTTTGTGCCTTAAATCAACATTTTCCCCCCCAGTAAAATCAACACAGAAATGTGTTTTTGAATGGAACTTAACTAAAGGTGTTTAGTCAAAAAACAAAATTTCAATAAAAATTGCCAAAAGGACAGAAAAATGCCAATTTCTTCGATTTCATTATTTTGACGAGCGCCTGATTTCTCTACGATGTCTCACATATCAGAGGGAGCGAACAGAAGTAAGATCTACCAACCAGTGACACCCTCCAAACACCCCCAAAAAGTATACGAGTTGACGTCATCAAAGACTGCTGACTACAAGATACTCATCTGGCTCACAGCATTCACCGCTCCACTGCTTGAGACACTATTAAGAAAAGGTTCGGAAAACAAAATGCCAGCCAGTAACGCAGTGAAGTCTTTTTCTCTTTATAGGGAGCAAAGAGCGCCGGCCGTCATGACAGTGCACGGTCTAGGGTTTTATCATATGTCAAGTATATGGAGTTTGGCTGTGAGATTCACAACTCCTTAATCATTTTATTATTATCTTCCGACAAA